TTGCACAAAGTCATTGAAGGTGAAAATGATGATGTCAATGTTACTGATATTAGAATAAGCTTTTCAACTGAAGTATGTAAACATTCTTTTTTTTATCTTTTGGTTTTATTTATTATCGTCTAACTTATTAATTTTATCCATAACCGGTTTTATTTTTTATGACGAAAAAAATTTTAAACGACGTATCAGAGCTCTTTAGAACTTGAATTAAATAAATCGACCAACACTGATATTTTCACTATCGTACTTTCGTATTTAGTCATGTTTTTCTATGTATCTGTGGCTTTGGGTAATAGATCAACTATCCCACGCATGATTATTGACTCAAAATTCATGCTGGGCATTTGTGGTATATTCATAGTTTTGGCGTCAGTTTCAACCTCAGTTGGAATTTTCTCATTCCTTGGAATCAAGGTTACGCTAATTATCGCTGAAGTCATTCCATTTCTTGTATTAGCCGTGGGAGTAGATAACATTTTTATTCTTAACCATGAATTCGAGAGATTAACTTTAAGATCAGGTGGTGAAGAGTCTGTTGAAGAACGTATCGCAAAAACTTTAGGTCGTATGGGACCAAGTATACTTCTTAGTGCGTTAAGTGAAACTATCGCATTCGGTTTGGGTGGCATAGTTACAATGCCGGCTGTACGAAATTTTGCTCTTTATGCTGCTTTAGCTGTATGGGTAGATTATTTATTACAAGTAACTGTGTTCATAGCGTTTCTATCTTTAGATGCTAAACGACAAGAGGATGATAGGATGGATTGCTTTCCATGTATTAAGGTTGAAAATGCACCAGAAAGGATAGATAGAGAAGGTACACTTCAAAAATGGATGAGAAAGTATTATGCACCGTTCATATTACATAAAAGTGTTAAGATCGCAGTAATTACAATATTTATTGGTATATTTCTGATTGGACTAAGTTTGGTGCCTCAAGTTGAATTAGGACTTGGTAAGTTTAAAAATAATTCAACAATTACAAATACGTTTGATTATATTCGATTATTAATTTTTTGATATACATAGATCAACGGATCGCATTACCCAGTGATTCCTATCTTATTGATTATTTCGATGATTTGGACAATTATTTCCGTGTCGGTCCACCTGTTTACTTTGTTGCCAAAAATGTAAACGTTACAAAAAAAGATGGTCAACGGGCTTTATGTGGACGTTTTAGTACATGTGAACAATTTTCATTATCCAATATCTTGGAGCAAGAACGCAAAAGACCACATGTATCATATATAGCGGAACCTACAGCATCATGGATTGATGATTTCTTGCATTGGCTTAACCCATCGCTTGAAATGTGTTGCCGATTCAAAAAGGGTTCCGATCCTGTTGAAATGTGTGATATATTTGATGATGAAGATGATTGTCAGACTTGTTTTAAAGATCGCGAACCCCAATGGAACACCACAATGAAGGGTTTACCAGAAGGGAGTGAATTTTTATATTATATGAACCTTTGGAAAAATTCTCCACCTGATGAATCATGTCCATTAGCAGGAAAAGCAGCGTACGGAGATGCAATAGTTTCCAACCCAGAACATAACACGGTAGTAGCTAGTCATTTCCGAACATTCCATACACCTCTTAAGAGTCAAAAAGATTATATATCAGCATTTCATGCAGCACACCGTATTAGCAAATCAATTAAAAAGAAAAATCCATCGGTAGATGTATTTCCCTACTCAGTGTTTTATATATTTTTCGAACAATACGAACACATTGCAGGATTAGCAGCTGAAATATTTTTATATGCGTTTATATCAATATGGGTAGTAACAGCATTACTGTTAGGTAGCGTATGGACAGGATTGATCGTAGTAGGTCATGTGATAATGATAGTTGTGTGTGTGCTTGGAATGATGGTAATATGGGGTGTATCATTAAATGCGGTAAGCTTAGTAAATTTAGTAATATGTGTAGGAATAGGTGTAGAATTTTGTGTACATGTAGTAAGAGCATTTGTAGTAGGAGGCGAAGGGGTAGATAGAAATGAGAGAGCGTACGGAGCGATAGTAGATGTAGGAAGTTCAGTATTTTCGGGCATTACATTAACCAAATTTTGGGGAATATTAGTATTGGCGTTTACTAGAAGTAAAATATTCGAAGTATATTATTTTAGAATGTATGTTAGTATGGTTATAGCAGGAGCATTACATGGATTAGTATTATTACCAGTGGTATTAAGTTTAGTTGGAGGTGAAGGTGTTGGAACAGGAGAAGACTTTGATTATGATATTGCTGATGAAGTACTTGGAGGAAGACCTATCAGAAGAGCGGATAATAGAATGCTTGTAGATGATGGAGGAATTGAAAGTGGAGAGAGTGATGCAGAATTGTAAAGATCTTTCAATATAAAAAATTGAAGAAATATGTCTTTATGTAATACAAGCTACAAATCATTATTTTTTGAATTTATAAATGTAAATTTAATCGATAGATTGTGCAAATAAAAACATTAATTTGTGATTCTAATTAGTGAAAAGATATAAAGTACTACATGTAGAAAATTTTATTAAATATTTCTAAAAGTTGTTTTTGTGTATAAAATTATATATATATTATATTAAAAATTACGTAAACTTGTATAGCATCTATATAGGGTTATTAATGGGTTGGGTTGGTTTGGGTTGACCCAATCTTCAACCCACACCACTAAATTAGACTTACTCCAATGTTTTGCTCCGGGTTGCTCCATAGTACTCCGGGTTGCTCCAGGTTGTTAGGCATAATTTTAAACCTACTCCAGAGTGCTCCGGAGTAAGCTACTCCATTAACAACCCTACATATATATAACAAGAACATAAAATCATTATACCATTTTAAAAGTGATTGCTCTGGTTATTATAACAAATATTGGTTTAGGACGAGGTGGCAGGGAATTTTGAAGTTCTAGTCGGATGATTAACTATGCTTTAGCATTTTATTCTGGATTGCCAACATTTTTCATGATTTTTTTATTTTATTTTATTTAAAAAATTAAGTTTAAGGTCATAGGCATATGACAAATGGTAAGAATCTGGGGTTTTTTTTTTTTTTGAAAAGTTTAAATCCAAAATTTGATTAATTTTGATTATGAAATTAGCCATATCGGTCTTTAATTTCATTTCAGAGAACTTTAGAATAACCTTGATATCTCTAAATATAATTTGTTTATCTGCGCGTTAATGTGAAATGTCCAATGTTTGGAAATACAGAACGTTATCGCTAGGGAGGTGAAAATTCATCATGGAACCTCCTGTGAATAATCATGCACAGCTTACTAATTGACAATTTTTTTATTCATTTGCAAGTGTTGCGTATTATGCTGTTTTGCCACTGAAGGTTCATAGAATGCTGTAGTTTTTTACTTTGTAATAAAAAAGTCGTGACGTATTTGGTTATTCCAGATATATAGTAGAACTACGAATTCAATTCAAATACTCTAGACACAAATTTAAATTGACGTATCAATTCGGGACAAACTACTTTACAATAAACTCTTGGTTCATAAATGATTATTGCAATTTGAATATACGGATAAAATATAGTATAGGTGACACCCAGTGAATATTTAATGTTCTCAATGTTCTCAAGAACATTTAAAAAAATTCAAGAATACTATTTAGAAATCATGTTCTCTTTTGAGAACAAACTAAGAATATCAAGCATACGATCAACTCTCCCCGACGATCACTTGGACCAACTAGTACCAAAAGCAAGTTGAAGACTCAAGGCCAGAAGTCAACAACAACTTGAAGTTTTCTCGATACAAACTGTTGTCAACGAAGTCTCTAAACGTGATACACCGAGGAGTGGGTGTTTTGGACGGTTTGCAAAGAGGTCAAGCCTTTTTCTTACTTCTTCGGGTGGACTCTCTTTTGCGTTTGGCATCCAAACCGGAGGAGTCTCTGGGAACAGCAAGTAGAAAAGAAAACTCAGGAAGTTTGGAAACGGAAGGATACGACGAACTCTTGGAAAAACTCTCTTTAGTTGGAAACTCGCAAAACCACAACTTTCCTTGCCGTTTTGACGCTCCCAAAACCAATTTTTGACAAAAAGTGGGGAATTAGACTACCTCCCGTCAAAAGATCAGCATTGTTTACCACTTCCATATTCGGTGACTCTGTGACATAAACACAACAAACACATGGCTATATAGAAAAATTGATTCCTTATTTGGGAACGTGGCCTTGCACGTCAAAGATTTGAAAGGTTTTTAAGAACTTCCACACCAAATAGATGAGGCGTGAAGTGAGAACATATGGAGTCGATTAAGTTTGTTATACTTTGGAATGGATTATGGATTTAAAGTCAGGGCGATAAAGAGATTTTGAGATATGCAGTTCTTGGATAAAGTCATGTGCATATAATT